TCCCACAGGGCAGCACAATGAGAGTAGCACAAAGCAAACAAAACAGACAGGGTGCTAGCTCTTGAAAAGCTACTATTCTAAACCAGTCACATGGACAAAAGAAAAAAGACAATTTCCTAAAAATTAGAGAAATGTTTTCTTCAATATATAAACCAGTAACTTCTATGTAAGTAAAAAGTGAGATCTGCCTTCATAAATTCCAAAAGCTCTCATTACATTACATCACACCAAGCAAGATGGAATGGGTTAGTCTTCACTGTACTCCCCCAAGCACTGGGCTTCCCTCTAAATGGTCAAATGGTGGCCTTCTGAAGGCAAGGCCTGTCCGCTCCCAGAGCCCGCATGGCCAAGCACACATGAGGCCCCACTCATTGGCTCCCTGGGAAGCTCCCCTTGCATGGTGGTATTACAGGACAGCCTTTCAATTCCTAAGCACATTCCCACCACCATCTATCCATTCAACAAGCATTTCTAGAGCACCTAAGTCAGAGCCTTGGGTTATAGATTAAAAAAAAAAAAAAAAGAAAAAAGCCTCTAATTCAAGGAATTCCAATGTAATAGAAAAGACAAGTGAATAAACATTTAAGGGTAGTATGGCAGAGTACAGGGGACTGGGCAGGCCAAGGAGAACCTCCGTCCCACTGGAACGGAGGCATCTGGGAGAGTCCCGGGAGGCGCTGACGGCTGTCCCCAACCCTGAGGGACAGCAACGCGCTGGCCGGGCAAAGAAGTGGGGAAGGCGCTCCGGGCAGAGCATCCGGGACAGCTGCCTCACACACTCCCAGAACATCTTCCCTACCTCTCCATGCAGCATCTTCTCAGATGATACAAATAATCTTAATATTAGTCTAAGAATTATATGGTCAAATAGGTAATATAGCCTCAAAAATGATTAGATGACACATTTTGAAGTAAAAAAAATCAATGTGCTTTTGACTGTCCTCCATTAGGGTGATGGCTAATGGAGGTGGCTGCCACCTCCCTCTCCAGGCCTCTCTTCTGGCCCTGCCATCCCAGGCTCCAGCCACTGAACATCGCATGGTGTCATGTCCATATGCCTTTGCCTTAGCCTGGCTGCTCTTGTCCATCTTGGTTGGTTAAAAAACTGACCATGTCCGCAACCACCGCCCCCCCAATCCAGTTAAACATCTCCTACTGTCTGATGTGTCCCTTTGCCTCGTCTGTGCCACTGGCTTCACCTGGACCTACTTCATAGGCACCACTATCTGCTTAACTGCCTTTCCTACTCGACAGGAAAACTGGAGAGAACAACTAGGCCTTATTAATCTTTTCACCACAGGGGTCTAGCACAGTGCCTGGCCCATAGCAGGAATAAAATAAATGCTTGCTCAGTGAATGAAGATAATTATGGGTAAGTATATATTGCTCAACAGGGCTATGAAGAAGCACAGTGAGAAAGAACCCACACTCTCAGGATTTCTAATCAAACTTTGGTCAAAGCCTTTCAATAACCTCACACATGTACGTCCCAAATGAAGCTATAAAGGTCAACCTTTAAAAGACCTAAGTTAGGTATTAAAGACAGTGAGGGAAAATATTTAAGCCTAACAAAAAAATATTATCCTACAAAATTTATAATGGCCCTGCCTAAATCCCAAAGCTACCTTGCTTCTTGTTTCTTTGGGAGGAAATAAAGAAAATCAGCTTGCAACAAATCAATCAAGCAAGCATTTATCAGAACTTCATGTTCAGGACTGGGTAGGTGCTGCGGATATACACACACACTGATTCCTGATTCAAAGTCGAACAAAAAGAAAGCAAAACGAGAAGCAGAGAACGTCAGATTTCCTCTCGAATCCCAGCCTGACTTTCCTCTGAGCCCTGACAACACTGGCTTATTCTCACACCAGGTGACATCAAGCTTCCCCTCAGTGTCAACCTCCTACAGCTTTCACAAAGCCTTCTCTGACTTCTCTAGCCCACATTAATTTTTCTCTTTTCTGTATTCTTATGGAATTTCTTGTCTGTATAATTAATTTTGGCATTAAATCACACTGTATTCTTATGGAATTTCTTGTCTGTATAATTAATTTTGGCATTAAATCACACAAATATAATGTCTTATATTATTATCCTTTTCTTACGAGTTTATCTTTTCTCTCCCAGAGAGCCTATAAGATTTTTAAGGATCACGTTTTGTATCTCTGACGATACTGTACTAAGCACACAGTAAGTAGATGCTCAATAAACACGGATGGATTGACCTGGTACCTTTCTGGCAGGTGTCCAAGTTCTCTTTGCTGACACAGGCATTTACTACCATCTCAAGGTCAAACACATTCACCAAAGAGCAGAGATACCAAAAGAGGCACAGAGTGGGACATCTCCCACCAAAGCAGAAAGGCCAGCGAGTCCAGAGGTGATAATCCAAGACCACCCGGCTCCATGGGGGGGGGGGGGGGGGGGGACGGCGGGGGTCTTGAAAAAACTTACCCCTCCCTGAGACATGAGCACCTGGGGCAGAGCCCAGAGAATCCCATTTTCTAGGCTTGGGTTCAGAGAAGGACTATCTGTCCTTAAAGAGCCAAGACATGGGAAGGAAAGGGCTCTAGATATAAAATGGGCAGGAGCACACATGAGTGGAGGCCATAAATCCCTCCCAGGACGCAGACAATGCCTCAGTGATAAGCATGCAGATTGCACACCTAGTTCAGAAACTCCCCTGAGTTTGCTTGTAATTAAAGGGGTTAGAAAGGTAAAAAAAAATATATAAACCCAATCAATCATTTAAATATTTAAAGTCAGATTTTTTCCTCACTCCAGGATTAGTATATTTCATAATGCCAGCAGCAGACAGCCCTGGTTTTTACTGGGGTTCATTTTAGAGCATGTTTAAACTAGTCAGATTGAGTGATGCTTCCAGCAACTAATCGCATGTCAAATAAAAGATATTTTATGTAATAAATTACCACTACAAGTAATTCAAATGTCATTTATCAGTTTTATTATCAGTCAGGCAAAGTCTTGTTTCTCTATATTAATCAAAATCAAGCTTTTTTTTTTCTTTTTGAGCAGTTTTGACACCTCTTGGCAAAAGTACAGAAGTGAAGAGGTAGAGTCACCCCGGGAGCTGAAAAGAGCAGTGTAACAGTACAAGAGGAATGAAGCTCAACAATGACAAGTAGAAACTTCAGGGATTTAAAATTGCCATTACCATTGTTTTTATACTAGTGTCAAAGCAGGAAGGAGTCTGTCTCTAAGAAGATGTATTTTATTTTTAGGGCTGGGAGACTCTTAAAAATACTCCTACCTAAATACCTAAACGTGCTATGCTTCTTCTCAGAGAGACCTGGACAGAAGAATCTAGATGACGGCATCGTCCCCCTCCCCGACTTCTCTCACCTCTTTCAGAAAGACCAACAGTTTAACCCTTTGTGCCTACCATAAAGTAGGCAAGCGCGTGATGTTTTAGGCCAACTTTGTGACCAACCAGAACAATTTGTTCTGAGCAAGAAGTTTCCAAATAGCCAAGAGACCTGTTTGGTTTTAAGCCATGGAGGAAACAGCTGGACCAGAACAGATGTGCATCTTAGAAAATTCTGCACCCCAGCTGCCACTGCCTGTCCTCAACAAATCCCATTAAATGGCTGGGCCCAGGGACACAACTAAAGAAAAAGTGTGGAGACCTAGCCTTTGGATAGAAGGAAAGACGGAGAGTATGTTTAGTGACCCAAAACAAACACAATGGATCGGAAAGAATGCCGGCCAGGAAGGAGACGTGAGTCCCAGCCTGACAAGTAGTTGCTACTGACTCAGTGGCTCCAATACAAGGCTTACCCCTGAGCACCATTTCTTGGGTCTCAGAGGTCAGGGGACACCAATGGTTTGTGAGACAAGGTGACCACAGATGAGGTGAACTTGAATTTGTGCTACCTGGCCTCACCCATTCAGCCTTATCCAGAAAGCAAAAGAAAGGAGATATCTAACTGAGATCTGTGACACCATAACCCACTGCCCGGCCCCCCGCACTGTCTAAGCCAGTGAGGAGGACGGCAAAGCAAGAGCCAGAAGGTAGCTCCAGACCACGTGGTGGGGGTCAAAACAAACCTGGCATTTTGTTATGCCTTCCAAAATCTGACATCTAACACTGTTTTAAATTAACATGTTTTGAAAAAAAATAAACTTTCTAAGATAGACAATTACAGAAAAGGCATTTTGAAAGACAACAGATCCAACAGATCCAAGGCTGAGTTATGTTAAAGACATGAAACTTGAGCTATCTTCCAACACTTTGAAGTGAATTTTAATCTTTTTAGACTTTTTATAAGTGACTTAAAGAAGGGGTTCTGGTTGTATTTTGGAGACTGTACATTTATTACTAGTTTGAAGAACAGTTATTCCTCAAACAGCTTCACTTAAAAACAACATGGGTCCTGTTCTCATATAATTAAAAGCTAATTCAAAAAAGGACCTTTACATTTAATCTGAAATTCTCTAACAGACTGTCACCAAATAAATGTACATGGTATAGCCAGGACAAGGAAGGAAAGAAGGAAAAAAGGAAGGAAGGAAGGAAGGAGAGAAAGGTGATGGGAGAGGCCACCCCAAATCTACTAACATTAACTTTAAAAAATAAAATTAGGAGAGGAGTCATTTCAGTGAGCAAACGAGAATGCGGTCATGAATCAGACATTCATGTTCTTCATGAAAGAGTGACATGCAAAAGCATGATGTAAGAAAATAGAAACAGAACCAAGAAATACTTTTATAGATTCTTACTTGGAACCAAAATATTTCAAACAACACAATACACTCATTTATTCTGGTCCCTCGTCTCTTCTTAAACCTTTGTCACATACTTAAAAGTTTGTCTAGGAGAGGATTTGGGTGTGGCACATTCTTTTGGAAAAACCCAAGAGCTGTCTACTAATCCCGGCTTCTCCCGGCTTGCTGAGTCTGGGAGTTGGGAGGCACTGCTCTTTGGCCGGAATCCTGAACCCCAGTCACGGTTAAGGCAGGAGTTTGAGCTGGTGACTTACTGTACGGCTGAGAAATGAGGTGAGGGGGCTGGACAGGAACCACCTGTGTGCCTGGGCCCAAGGACGAAGGCTCATCGGCAGCCGTGCCCGACTGCTGGAAAGCCAAATCAATCTCTTCATCTGTCAGCCCTGGGGGGAGAAGAGGACATAATTGCAGGTGAATACCTTTTGCCACTGTCCCTGGCCGCAATGAAACCTTCATTGAGAAAAGACCCTGAGAGCCCACAGAGTGCCTAGCATCCTGGTAAGTTTCCTCCCCGATTTCGGATTCTCTGGAACCTCTCTCAGTTGCAATTTAACCTTAAGCGACAGAATATTAGCCTCCACACTGCTTCCAAATGTGGCTCATTCAATTTCCTTAATTTATCCTTGAGTTTATTGCTGCTTTTGAAGTCGCTCCGTACTGCAATTCTCCGTTCTTCCCCCGAAAACAGATACCATCAACTGCAAATGTGACTCATTTTAATCTGTAATGGTGTTAAAAAAAGAGGGGGAAAAACTAACAATAATGCATGAAAACAGACAGGGAAACAAAAAACTAATTATTAGGTGAGACGACTAATTAGTCTCGATCGTTTCCGAAGACGGGAATAATTTGCTTTATTTTATGACAAATGCAGAAATAAAAAGAAAAATCAGGACTGACTGTGATTAGTATGAATGGGATACAGAATGTAAAGAAGAAAATAAAACAAGAAAACAGATCAAAACAAGGCCAGGCCCAAACTTTCAGATGGTTATTGCTCCAGCCTAGCATAGGCTGCTGGTATCGCCTTTGGCAAGCTCTTCTGCCTCCCTTTGTTTCAATCCTCCCCACACTAGAGCGCACTGCGCTCAGGACAGCCCGGAAGAGCAGGGCGCCATCTGCAGTGGCTGCAGCGCGTGGAGAGGATTTGCCCGTGGGAGAGTAACAGGCCGGGGAGGGCCCGAGGAGACCCCATTTCCAGTGGGCACACGGCTGCAGCCCACCGGGGCCGCTGGCCCTGTGGCAAGAGGACGAGGATGCCAACCAACCCAAAGAACAGGAACGAGGTGTGGCACACAGGTGTGAGAAACACTTGCCCACAGGTCCGAGAAGTGGGTACAGTGGGTATGAAAGTGCTCGGGCCGCCGACAGTGGGAGAGGCAGTGAGGAGGTCACTGCTAGGTCTGCAGAGACCCCTCCGGCCAGCCCGTGCCGTTCCAGGAATCCCAGTATCCAGTGCAGCCGCCACGGAAAGCCTTTTAAATGGGGGCCGAGAGCTTTTCCCCATCTGGTCAGCAGCTCTCCATTAGGGGCCCATGGCACGGCGTATTTGCCCCTGGGGGTAGATGAAGTTCAAGGAGCTTCTGAGGATCAGCATCTTCCAGAGCACCGGGCCGCCCGCTCTGTGCCGAGGGGCTAACAGATGGGGCGCATTACTGCTCCGAAGCACAGTACCACCCAACACCACACTTGCGTGTAGCTGGTGGAGCGCCTCTGCCACTTTTCAGGCCCTACCGCCAAGCGGTCAGGGAGAAGGCCTGCACTACTCTAAACGGCCCTGGACCCTCCCTACGCTGAACAGATGAGGGCTGTCCCCCCTTTGAAACCGCAGCCCTGCCCCTTCCCCCTCCACACACAGGGGAGCCAGCCAGTGGTGGGCAAGGCTGCCCCTCGGTGAAGCCTGACTGCTGCTGCGGGGGGGGGGGGGGGAGGGCAGCGCACCCCACTCTCAGCGCACCAAATGGGCAGATGAAAAGGCTGGTGCTGAGCACCTTCAAATACAAAAGCTACCTTTGAGTATGCGGGGCTGTACTGGGCCGTTCCTCCTCCCAAATTCCCTAGCTTGCCCCAAAGGCCTCCCGAGAGAAACAGGGGCAGGACAGACGGACAGGTACCCCGAGCGTGTGCCTCTCGGGCTCCATCCAGCTTGGGAGTGACGGCTGGTCAACTTCCAAAGAGAAAAGGGAACCCCTTTCAGAGTTCTCGGAGGAAAGACCCGGTTTTAACCAGTTCGTCATCCGCCGCGGGAGCAGCAGGCGCACGTGCGGCGTCAGCAGGGGCGGATGGTCACTGGTACACTGCGGCCTTTCATAAACCTGGTGGTTCGTGCGCCTTGTCAGCCGCTGGCTGCAAATGAGGATAATTTTCCCAAAAGGAGCATTCAGTTGCTTTCTCATTTTCCCTTTTGGCTCTTTCAAATATAAACAAGTACGATAATGTTTAACGCTGGGGAAATATACAGTAAGTCACGGACTATGCCGCGGCCCTGAGAGCCAGAGCTGGTTAAAGGGACAACACTCCCTGCCCGCTGCTCTGCCCTCTGGCCCGGAGCTTTTACGAAGCCTATTTTCCTAATAAAACATGTTCCTTGCGTTATTGCAGCCGAGCCCACTACTGAGGCCGTGGTTTAAAGGGCATCAGCACTTCCTTCCAAGCTCTTGTTTTTCAGACCTTATCATTTGATGCTCTAAATTTACATTGGCTGGAATTCTGATATCCCCAGTCCTCCAGAGAGTCAGGATTTTGATTTAGTTACATAAAATGAATCACTTTTCTTCTTGTAAAAAAAAAAAAAAAAGCATTTTCATGATCTCACTGAATAATATAATTTCATAGCTGGACCACGATCCCAGTCACTGTGTTCATTTAACAGATAAACAACAACAACTAAGGCCCGGGAAAGGTGAAAACATGCCTCAGATCCCATGAGGCAGGGCATGGTGCTGCCAGCTCGACAACCCACGGCTTTCCATCTGCCGCCTGGTGACTGCCCCTCTAGCACAGAAACAAGTAGCACATTCTGAAATCACGTCTTAGGTCTTCAAGCTTGTGAGAGGTTGAGAGAAGCGCTAAATGGTCTCTCAGCCCCAGCTGGCACCCCATCTACAGGTGAGGGCTGATAAATGGCGTTTGGGAGCCAGACCAAAACAGCACAGAATCCAAACGCCCAGATCCTATCTACAAGTGACACGGGGACAACTTTTTGAACAACTCCAGAATGACAAGGGTAGTGTTCCCACCTCGTTCTAATATTCTAACTCCCAATAAATCCAAAGGCCTCTCACAGACCTTAGAGCCCTCTTCCTCAGAGTGCCCCCAGCTTGGGGTGCACTGGCCAGCCAGATTCAGTGTTCTCTCAACTCAGGTTGATCCATCTGGGACTCATGGAGACTCAGCGGGAAGGGGTGTCATCTCCTTCAGAACACAACAGTTACCTACGCAGTCATGGGCTCCGTAGATGAACTGACCCTGCCTTCAGGGAAGAGGGACAGTCACAGGACCCACACACAGGATATCCAGGCTTCCTTACCCTCCCCCCCTCCCACAGACGGCAGAGAGCTTAGATTGAGACCTTGCAGAATCCCAAAGGTTAAAAGAAATAATAAAGGAAACCGCCAATTGGAAGTGAATTATATTTGGCTGTGAAAGCAGAGGCATAGGCTATATTATAAAAGGCATCTCTTTGCGTTGTTTACCATCACCCTGACTAATGCAGACCTTTTTGTTGTTGTTGTTTTAAATAATCTCATGCAAATTAGACACACACACTTCCTTCCAGTTGATTGCTATCTGCAAGGAATAATCTAACCGCAGAGGGACCAAGCAAGGGCTGAGCAGAGCAGAGACGGGGGCAAAGGGTGTTGCCTGCCATCAGCCACCACCTTTGGAAGAATTAGCCAATTTCAATAAAGCCCAAGAGTTTCTTTTAGTCGGGGTATCAGTTTGCATTATGTGATATCACTAGCGCTTTGCATTTAGATTCTTTCGGTAACATCAACCTTTGCCACTTGCCAATTCCAAGAGCTACCCGCCTTGGTCTGTGATAATTAAAACGTTATCATTGGGGTACCTGGGTGGCTCAGATGGTTGAGCGTCTGCCTTCGGCTCAGGTCATGATCCCAGGGTCCTGGGGATCGAGCCCCACGTCCGGCTCCTGGCTCAGTGGGGAGCCTGCTTCTCCCTTTCCCTCTGACTCTCCCCCTGCTCATGCTCTCTCTCTCTCTCTCTCTGTATCTCTGTCTCGAATGAATAAATAAAATCTTAAAAAAAAAAAAATGTTATCATTCACAGAGAGTAAAACCAAGAAAGTCCTGCTCAGTTATTCCAACCACTCACTAGCTTTAGCCAAAAGGAGGAGAAAGGAGTGAGGGCACCGGTCCAATGTGAGGAGGCCGGAACACCTGTCTCTGAGAGGCAGTGTCATTTCACCTTTAAGATCACAGGTGCCTGGAGGTGCCTGGGTGGCTCAGTCGGTTAAGCGGCTGCTTTCAGCTCAAGTCATGATCCCAGGGTCCTGCGATGGAGCCCCACGTCCAGCTCCCTGCTCAGCGGGGAATCTGCTTCTTTCTCTCTCTCTCTCTCTCTCAAATAAATAAAATCTTTAAAAAGGAAAAAAAAAAAAAAAAGGACCACAGCCGCCTGACTGGCAAAACTGAGAGCTCTCAAGTCCCACCGTGCAAACGAAGGTCCCGAGCGCCCGGAATCAGAGTGGAGTCCTGGTTCTCTGAGTTCTCTGGACTCTACTTCCAGAACCAGTGCCCTTTACAAGGAGACGGCTGCGGCCCTGTGCAGAAGCTGCCCGGGAGATTTCTTTTCCAACACTTTCCCCAGGGTGGGATTCTTTTAAAAGAACAGAGCAAGTAAGTTACAAGCTATTGATTAATAAAGCCCCTTGTTACTGCTGTGGGCAACTCAAGTGAACGGCCTCCTCGGGGCTGCCACGTTTGTATCCCCTAGAAGATACACAGATTTGTTTTCTTTTTCTAAAGGTTTCGATTCAAATGCAAACAAAACCAAACTGGTTGACTTTGTGAGCCGCAGCTGGGAGCTGGGACCTGGGAGCTTGACGCTGCAGGTCCTTTCCCACGGACTCAGACAAAACTGGGCACCGGGCACCGGGAAGAGCTGACTTTTAACTGAGGGACTGGCTGTGCAAGGGCTTCTCAGAATAAGTCACCTCGGTGCTGTCCCCAGTGCCCGCTGAGCACTGCCACGGGGCCTGGCCCTATGCAGGTGAAGCAGAAAGACAGGTGACAGCAGACAGCAGCATTCCCTGCATCTTGCAGGTCAAACAGGTCAAACAACAGCCAGGACAGCGGGGTTAGGAATAGTTTGGAAATAAGCAAAGTAACGAACACCCGACGGCACCTTCCAGCCGGGCCTG